GGTTTGGTGTTGAAAAAGATTCATCGAACACTACAGTTTAACCAATCAAAGTGGCTTGAGCCGTATATTAAATTAAACACAATATTGCGAATGAAAGCAATGAATGAATTTGAGAAAAATTTCTACAAGTTACTCATCAATGCAATTTATGGCAAAACGATGGAAAACGTTCGAGCTAGATCTGATATTCGGTTGAAAACCAAGTGGAATGGTCGATATGGAGCTCGCAAGTTGGTAGCGTTACCAAATTTTAAGAAATATTCAATTTTCAGTGATGATCTCGTCGCCATTCATATGAATCGAACAACAGTAGTTATGGATAAGCCGATAGCAATTGGCATGTCGATTTTGGAGATTTCAAAAGTCTTGATGTATGACTTTTTCTACAATCATTTGCGCAAACAATATGGTGAGAACGTCGAATTGATGTATACTGATACGGACTCGTTTATCATAGATGTGAACACGGATGACTATTATGCAGATATGAAGAAAAATTTGAAAAATTATGATACGAGTGATTTCCCAGAAAATAATCAATTCAATATTCCTAGAGCAAATAAGAAAATTCCTGGTTTATTTAAGGATGAGTTGAATGGAGAAATTATCACTGAATTTGTAGGTCTTCGAAGCAAAATGTATTGCGTGCGATCCAACGGTATTGAAAAAATGAAGAAGGCAAAAGGTGTCAAAAAATACGTTTTAAATAAAAAGATTACTTTTAAAGATTATGTTAATTGCATTACAAAAAATTGTAGCGTTGTAAGAAAACAAAATATGTTTAGAACTAAAAAACATGTTGTATTCAGTGTAACACAATCAAAAGTAGTATTAAGTCCAATGGACAATAAGCGATACATACTGGAAAATAATGTTAACACTTTACCTTGGGGTCACTATAATATTCCAATGTAATCTTGCTTGATTGAATAAAAAAGAAATAAATAAAACAGTTTGTCCAAGTTGACAAAAAAATGAATCTTGATTTTATTATTCAATTCCTTTTTCTTAGAAATACATCTTTTTTTTCACTTTTTAAAGTCTTGGCTCAAATAATATATCATGAAAGTCCAAAATGAGACGATTTTTCCGAGATGCATCTTTTCCACCGTATACCATAATTTTTGGAGTCTCGTTCAGCTTGTTGATGTCATCATCATTCAAAATGTAACGCTCTGGCAAGTACATGTAGTTTTGATCCAAGGCGACTCGTACACGTTGACCATGAGATGTCTTAACCGTTGAAAAATCATGTACAACGTATTCACCTGGCGTTAGCTCGTTGAAGCTTTTGTACCCCCTCTGAACACAGGCTGCTTTTAATTTTTCCATCACGTTTTTTCTTGGAGAACTTGTTAGAATATTTTTTTGACGTTAGCTCGAACTGAATTCGGTGACTGCCGAAACAAAACTGACGAGTTTCCGTAAATTTTGCAACTCTTATATACATTTTGCACCCCTCTTTTATATTTTCGAATGTTTCGTTCAATCGTAACATTTTTAACGGTTATGCTTTAGTTCATTGACATTATACATTCGGAAAAAATTGCAACATATGGTGGAAGAAAAAAACGGTTACAACATATCGTCTTCATTTATCCATGAATTATGCTCATCGTCAAAACCCAACCATTTCACATATAACATCCCCTCTTTTCTACGAATTATTTTTTCAACCAAATACAAATCAGGATTTTCCGATTTTCTAAGTTCTGCTTCATAAAATGATCCGCTAATAACATTTCCATCTAAATCGATTATTATATACGTTGGTGGATTTGTAAGTTGAATTTTATAAATTTTAAACACCTCAACACTCCAATTAGGCGTATAACCTTTTTCGAATATGTGCTTATACTTGCTGATTCTAACCGAATCTCCGAGTTTGAACTTGGGTCGTTTTACTTGTTGGCTTGTTGAAGGTTCATCCGCATAAACTGTTCTCAACAAAAAACTTTCATTATTGTCATTAACATCGTTTGGTTTCATGCCTATGGTTCGATGTTTGGTGTTGTTGTATTCATCTACTAATGCTGGCAGTATGTCTATCCACTTATGAGAACCGCGAAAACTAAACTCTTTCCACATCTTATTCTTGAGTGTTCGATTAAATCTTTCGCAAATCGCAGCCTTTTTACTTGTAAATGTTGAATATAAATTGATTTGCCGTTCATCAAGTAATTTTTTCATATTTTTATTATAAAATTCATTTCCATTATCAACGTGCAGATTATGGATGGGGTGATTGATTGAGTTTAGCACAGATTTCATTGCTTTTGTCACTTCAATAGCAGATTTGTTTTTAAGTGGGCGAGCATACGCTTTTTTCGAAAATATATTTATAACTGTTAGTATATAATTCATGTTTTTATTTTTTGCTGCGTATGGAATCATTTCAACTAAATCGGCTTGTAGAGTGTCATTTATTCCAATCATTTTCGTCGATCTCCGCGCAAAATTGCGTCTCGCCTCGCGATGTAGCTCGTTAACTAAGTCGCGTTTACTCATTTTTTTTTGTCATCTTAAATTATACGATGAACCAAGCCAGTGAACGGCGAATATTGAACTAAGTTATCGTGAATAATTAAGCAATATGCCGATGTGTTGTTTGGAATATTTTCACTTGCTTCTATTTCAATTCTGACATCAACCATACCACCTTTCACACTTTCGTCTGAACGACTGCAATCAAATGCAAACACAGGTCGGATCATAAAACCTGCAAGGTCTATGCCAAGCGGATTGTATGGTGTTGTATTAGAATAGTATTGGTATTGAATGTTTGAGAACATGTGATATAGTTCATGACAATGGGTGGCAGTAAAGTTTAGATTCATATCATCATACGGATATCTTTCGTTGTTTAAATACAACCTCATGTTTGTAATATTGCAATGATCGAATCGGGATGCGTCATTTGTTATGACATTGTTACGATTCGTCTGAAAACAGACAATGACGTATCGTGGTTTGCATACTTGACTCGTTGTTTTTACACTCCATGTATGACGTGTTGTTTGTGGTACCACTGGTAGCTCATACAAATCCCATGATCGAAATGGTAATTGTAGACTTTCATTGTTAGATAATACTTTTAACATCCCCAATTTAGCTCTATCACTCAAGACTACATGCGGAATTTTCCAATGAATTTTGGTAACATTGAGCCGCAAAATATCTGTAGCTGCTTGATAGAAATTAACATTAGATCGACTGCGAACTAAAATCAGCTCATGTTTGCTATTTAATATGATGCGTCTAAAATCATCAGCAAAACCGAATAAAAAGCGTAGCGGTAGGAGAACTCTATTAGTTTCTACTATAATAGCTCTATTAGCGTATTGATTGAACAGATGGTATGCTTTTCCATCTTCTTCTTTGCAAGCAATCATACATTTTAATGTAGATGTGATGCCAGGCAATTTACATCGATCGATTTCCACGCCATTTAATTCGTAACGTAGTTCACTAAACAAATGAGCCAAGCAGTTGTATATAGACATTGCTTCATTATTTGCAAATGGTAGGTCATCATTTCTTCTTGTGGAATATTCAACCATCAAATAACTCTCCGATGGTAAAACAATCAAATCTTGAGACTGTATAACGATACGAACTTCATCATTGTTGTTGTAAGACGTCGTATACGGTGTATATGTATGAAACTGTTTACTTATAATGTCCTCGTCTTGAACGATTGGATCTTTGACATCTAAAATTGTGCTCGCCATAGTTTAATGTTTTTTCACTTTGAGACCCAAACTCTTCAGAAAATTTATATTTTTTCGATTTAATCCGCGTTTAGGTGAAGATGTGTCTCTCTTCACGTTTCTCAATGGAATGATGGGTGCTTTCCATAAATATTCGCTTTTATAGCTGCGTTGATGTCCGTGATAGATTATCATTTTTTATTCTATTCTCTGTTCTTTAAACATGTGTTTATTTCATCACAGTCAAACAAGGAATGAGTGTGATATCAATATATCCACATATATATTCATTCAAATAATATTTTTTATCTCGCTCACACTTATGGTTCTTTTCTGATATGCAATCGACAAGTAATTTTTTCACCACGAAAATCCACCAAATTTCCATCCTGATCAACAATTGATATGTTTAATTCACTTATGCGTCGTTTCACAACAGGTAAATATATTAAATGTTTTGGTTGTTCATTAATTTTGTAGCCCGGTGCTACAGAGGGGCTAAATTCATAAATTGTATGGGCCCCCTTTCCATTATGAAATGAACCAGTTGTCAAATCACAGTCAATTCTGATGCTATTGACAGTTTGTATATTTACAATTTCGTTAGAAATATGAGTTGAATTTGAAAGTAGTTTACGTTTACTAAAACCCAAAATCGTAGCAATTGTGTAAGGTTGTGTAAAATCCACAAACACATCTGTTTCAATTTTACATTTCATTGTATTTGAATTGGCGTGAAGACGAAAATTAACTTTATGTCTATGGTGTAACTCTTTTTCTATATACGCTCCTATTTCATCTATTTCATATGAGCCAACTGGAATTTCGATTACTTCAATGGCATCGTTTTTAGTGAGTGTATAATGAAATTTGTTGTTGTTTTCATGAACATTTGGAATAGAGTTATACGTATAAAAATCCAGTAGACTGCAAGAATAATTAAATCGCTCATCCAGTTCGATTTCTGGATGAAAATATGTATGCAATAGAGAACTATTGCCTGTTATTGTTAACGTTATTGACGCCATGATTGACTCAAGTAAACTGAAATGAAATTTAGTTCGTTACTTCTTTATATCTCCTCATTTCATCATAGTTTTAACATCAAAGTGAGTATAAATATGAATAAACAATTTTTTCGGTGATCATTTCTGTGTTGAACGTTGATGAGTAAACAACGAAGCTATTTTACGGATATAAATCCACCGCGATATGAAAATTGTAAAAAAACAAAAGAGAAAACGAGTCAAGCGCAAATCTAAAAAACGTGGTGGCGGTATTGTTGATAGAATTATTGATAAACTTCCATTCGAAATACACGTACCAACTTATCAGTACTGCGGTCCTGGAACCCATTTGGAGAAGCGCTTGGCTCGGGGGGATCCTGGGATAAATCCTTTGGATACTGCTTGCAAACGTCACGACATTGAATATAGCAAACATACAAAAACTGAAGAGCGTTCAATTGCAGACAAAGTATTACAACAGGAAGCGATGAAACGAGTATTTTCGAAAGACGCATCATTGGCTGAGAGAGCCACTGCATTAGGTGTTGCCGCTGCTATGAAAGCCAAGCGAAATCTCGCAAAATTTGGGAAAGGGTTGTCGAAATGTCAAACAAAGAAGAGAAAGAAGAAGAAGCGCGTTACATTTTCAAAACTGCTCAAATCTGCCAAAGTAGCGATTAAGAAAAACAGACCCGATACTGTAGATTCAGCAATCAAAGTGGCTGTCGCCGAAATTAAGAAAATGAGGAGAGGAAAGAGAGTGAAAACGCCACGCACTATTAAGCTACCAACGTTCAAAGGTGGTGTGTTACCGCTCATTCCGATTTTCGCTGGTTTAAGTGCATTGGGTACGATCGCTGGAACAACAGCAAGTATCACGAATGCAATTAATGCAGCGAAGAAGGGACAACTTCAGTTGGATGAAAATAAACGTCACAATAGAACGATGGAATCGATTGCAATTGGAAATAAGTCAGGAAATGGTTTCTATTTGCATCCGAGTAGAAATGGAAAAGGTCTTCATTTGCAACCATACACAAAAAACCATTAAAATTGTTACCGAACCGTGCACTAACTAATTTTGACTTGATGAAGTATGTAAAGTTATTAAAAATTCCACATTTTAGAGGAGTATTTATGTTAGATAATTTGCCGAAAAAATCGCCAAATAAAGAAGAGTGTATGATTATCAATCATGATTCAATGAAAAACAAAGGAACACATTGGACTTGTTTTGCTAAAACTGGTTCAAATGTATTTTATTTCGATTCATTTGGTAAACTAGCTCCGCCACTTGAATTAATTCAGTACTTGGGTACCAATTGCCATATATTTTATAATTATGAACAATATCAAAAATTTAACACGTTTAATTGTGGTCATTTATGCTTAAGTTTTTTGTATGCATTTTATGAAGAAGATTGAAAATAAAACTATGCGATAAATTAAAACTCACACTCTTTTTTGTTTTCATTTTTTAGCTTAAGTATAAAAATGTGAGATTCTTGGTTTATTAATCAGTTTAAAACAGAATGCGATTCGCTAAACAACCCATCAGTATTAATGTTCCAAATTTGGATAAAGTTGCTTCGACTTCAACACCCAAATCGAGGCGACATGGCAAATTATTACCTAATTCTATTCGATGTCTTGTGGCGGGGCCATCATCCTGTGGAAAGACGAATTTACTAATGAGTTTAATCGAATCTAAACATGGGCTGCGATTTGAAAATATTTACATCTATTCAAAAACCCTGGAACAAGATAAATACGAATATCTTAAAAAGATTCTCAAACCACTTAAACAAATTGGACTTTTCACATTTTCAGCATCAGAAAAAGTTATACCGCCAAACGAAGCTAGAAAAAATTCCATATTTATTTTTGATGATGTGGTTTGCGATAAGAAGCAAGAGAATATTCGAAACTATTATTGTTTGGGTAGGCATCGCAACATTGATTGCTTCTATTTAACACAAACGTACAGTAAAGTGCAGAAACATCTGATTCGCGACAACTGTAACCTTTTGATTATTTTTAGACAAGATGAGTTGAATTTAAGGCATATTTTTAATGATATGGGTGTCGCATGTGACATGAAGTTTGAGGATCAAACGTTTTTGCCTAGAATGTTGGAAAGATAGGTACGGATTTGCGGTAATTGATCTAGACAGTGACGTCGATAAAGGTCGTTACCGTAAGGGTTTTTCCGATTACCTACAAGACTTTAAATAATTATGTTTATGTAATATATAATCAGTATAGTTTTAACATTCAATGTGAAAACAATGTCTGAGGTGGACAAAGAACTTAAAACTTCGCTTGTGCGAACGCGTGATGTAATTGCAAACAAATTCCGATCATTGCGTCGAGACAAAACATTAAGAGAAAAGGAGCTCCAAGAAAAATATGAACCCATAACTAACACAATCAAAGAATTGATTTCTACAAAAGAAAATATTTTGCAACAAAATACCTCCACTAATGTCAATCATCAGCCATAGACTAGTGGTTAGCGTGCCAGGTTTGTGAGCGTGAGGACACGAGTTCGATTCTCGGTCAAATTTGGTCCGGTATTTTTCCACCGTGATTCGC